CATTGGAGGTGCTTTTTACGATCTTCAAAGTTTTTGGGTATATGTTAACGCGGCGAGAATATACATTCACTTGATGGACTCACTCCGTTCGTTTGACACCACCCTCTCTATTCGGATAAGCTGGTGATTTGGTGACGAACAGTATCTGGTCAGCTCTATTTATCTCGACAACCAGTGTCTGAAATGCTGCCAGGCTGCATTTCCGGCAGTCTATGTCACAAAATATCGCGGCGAAAATATTCATTCACTTTGAGTCACTCACTCCGTCCGTTTTACACTTTCCTGTCTGGTCGGATAAACTAGTGATTTGGCGACAGGCGGTATCTGGTAAGCTCTATTCATCTCGACGATCAATGCCTGAAATACTGCCAGACTGCTTTTCCGACAGTCAATTTTTCAAAATTTTCGGGGGCTTTGTTGAGGTTCGCAAGTCCGTTCATTTGACACTTATCTCTCTGGGGTCTGATAGACTAGTGATCAGGCGACAGACTGCATCTGATCAGCTCTATTTCTCTTTACAATCGGTGCCTGAATACTGTCAGACAGCATTTCCGACAGTCTATTTTTCAAAATTTTCTTGGGGAGCTCACCAATACCCCCACAAGGACTCGCTGCTTTGGCGCTCACAAGGGGACTTCGTTGAGGTTCGCATGTTCGTTCGTTTGACATTTTTATTCTTTGGTCGGATAAACTAGTGATCAGGCGACGGACGGTATCTGGTCAGACCTATTTACTACGACGATCGCTGCCTGACAGAATACTGTCAGACAGCATTTCCCTCAGTCTATTTTTCAAAATTTGGGTATATGTTAACGCGGCGAGAATATACATTCACTTGATGGACTCACTCCGTTAGTTTGACACTTTACCTCAACGGTCAGTGCCTGAAATACTGCCAGGCTGCATTTACGGCAGCCTGTTTTTCAAAATTGTCTGAAGGAGACCTCCTTACCCCTTTGCCCCCTTAACCTTGGACTTTCCCCCAGCTTTGCCCCTCCAACCACCGAAGGCTGGCGCCGCCACTGTATGGAACACAATGATGACAATACAAATATTATATCAAAATAATTATCCACTTCGCATACATGTATATATAAATAGAAGAAGCATTGGTGGAATACACAAATCGAATATTGTAATTAATCACAGCTCTAACCTACTTTTGATATCTAGAAATTGTCATGGGTCTGTCGCAGGGAATGTGTGCCTCCTTTAAAAAGCATCGCCCAAAACAGCATCGCATTCCGAAATCCGTGCCTCACTCCACAGTAAATCTAATTTACAATTGGAAATATTTAGGAGCGATTATCCATAATAGAATGAAAATGATGAAACAAGACTATTAGCCAACAAGAGTATCGCATGTCTGTATGAATGTATTACTTGTGTGTCATTGTATCTGTTTTCTATGTTATATGTATTATTAAATGTATACGTGTTGTTTTAAATGGACGTTTTGATGCAATTAACATCTTATCTTATCTAGCACAAATATCTTGTAAGTATAAGCCGGTCTACCTTCCGATTTCGACTTTTTTTTCCGTGAAAATCCATGTAAAGGAGAACATATTTATGTTTCGAATCGTATATGGACTAATTCATAATTTAATTGTCTGCATTTTTTTAAAACCAGAGAGTTATCCAGTTCTATACTTCCATTCTCAATATTTAGAATAAATGGAAAAGCTTAACAGTTTTTGCATTTCATTTCCTAGGAATGAGTAATTCGTCGCATAGTTTTTCCGCGTCTCTTTAGGGCAAGCAGAGATAAGCAATTTGGTGGGTTGATTGGTTAATTGGTCATAATGTGGCCCAAAATATGACCTTTGTCACCAGCCTTACGCCAAGTTTGTTCAACTTTTTTTGCTCTTAAGTGATATTGTTGGCTTCCTGACTTGGTTAGCTAGCTTTTAGGCTTTGTTTCAGCTATGGACTCTAAATTTTAATTATGGTCACAAATTAGTGCTAATTAATTAGCTCTTACGTAGCATTAGTACAGCATTTCATGCTCTTAAACAGTCATTTTGTGCAGTGAAACTCATAGAAATGGTGTTAGAAAGAAAAATAATCCCGGACAAGACAATTTTATCAAATACACTCAAACGTCGTTATGTGACCTAAAATTTGACCTTTGACCCTTGTCACCTTTGAACCACTCTTAAGCAAGGTTTGTTCAATTTTTGTCGCCCTTAAGTGATATTTTTGGTTTCCTAACTTGGTTAGCTAGCTTTAAGGCTTTGTTTCAGTTATGGACACTAAATTTTAATTATGGTCATTGATTAGTGACCTTTGACCTTTGAACGAGTCTTAGGGGATCACGTGGCTAAGTGGGTAAGACGCTAGCTCGCTATCCTGGAGGTCGGGTGTTCGATCCCTGCATTGGCCGAGAAAGTTCATCCAGATTTTCCGGCGTGGTTCTCCCTTGTCAGTGATGCAGGACGGAGAGGCTGACAAGGACAGCTGTCTAGTCGTTCGGATGGGACGAAAAACCGAGGTCCCGTGTACACATTGGCGTGCACGTAAAAGATCCCTTGGCAGTTGGAATTCGATATAAGAGTAGGCCGTAGTGCCGCTGTCCGTGCAAAATTTCCCTCATAGCACACTGTATGGCGTATGCCCGTCTTCATTAGCCCAGGTTAGGAGCAGAACAGTAGGACGTTAAACCCCATTTCATTTCATTTCATTTCATTTGAACGAGTCTTAAGCAAGGTTTGTTCAACTTTTGTCGCTCTTAAGTGATATTTTTGGTTTCATGACTTGGTTAGCTAGCTTTTAGGCTTTGTTTTAGTTATGGACTCTAAATTTTAATTACGGTCACTAATTGGTGCTAATTACTTAGGCTCTAAAGTAGCATTAGCACAACATTGTATGCTCTTAAGTCATGCATTCTGTTTCTTAGTGTTAAGTGTGAAACGCTTGCAAACAAATTGTAGATGGACATTGAATTTTAACTCCCATTAAATATGGGAGGGTTAGGGGGAGCGCTCCCAGGTATACGCACAGGTTACAAACCTTAAGACTTGGCTTTCCAAAATGATCTAGGGGTAGAATATGTGTTGTAGACCTCAAACCTTTTGGACTCAATATTTTGATTAAATCTCACTGGGCTCCCGGACTAATAAGTTCATTGACTAATCCCTTACATCAACCAGAATAACTCTTTTAGATCCCAGTGTAATGAAAGCAAGTAAAACGAAATCTTGAACTATGAAAAACGAAACGAAATAGGATATGCGTTTTATCGAATTGTCCTATACTAGGCCTACACGTACATATGCTGCCACGATAAGCAAAGAGATCAACTATTTAGGTAGGCGTTTTACCCAGTCTGTCTGCGCCCACCCCCTTCCCCCATCCGCTAAGATTTAAGGGTTGGTTTTTATACAGACAAACCATATCGTAATGAACTATTCATATGCCCTGTTTAGTACAAGTTACCATTCGCGAAAAAAATCAAAGAAGTTGAAAAAATAAACTGGAGAAAAATGGTAAAACCGATGAGAAAAATGAAAATGTACCCTAGTTAGGGAGGGCCCTAAAGGCAGACAAAAGGGCCCTACGTCTGACAAAAGGGCCCCTCTATCCAGGGGAAAGGGCTCCCTAGTCCGAGTCAATCGTTTTCTATACACTGTTACTGTCGAATCCACTACTGAATGGGAATGCAGTCATTGCATTGGTATGAAAATCATCAATCAAGAAATCACCTTTTCTGAAAACATACCAATAAGCTATTCAGGAAGGAGATGGCTAGGCCGCCCAGTGTGGGCTGGCTTGGCGGAGCGATCATTTCTTTGCTGAATTAGGCCCCGGCCCTCAGATTAAACCGGCCTCGAGGGACCTGGAGAATATGTCAGAATGCACCAAAAAGTTTTATATTTTGCAAAATTTCTCGACCTCCGTGATCTGTGCCTGTTCGCTCCGTTTCTCTCTAGGGCTCTCCAACATGGCTTTCACTTGTCTGTGGTGCAGGGTGGGCCCGACAAGGAAAAACACCTTGTTTCGAAATATCGACGTTGAAACGGAATCAAAGTGTTAATAACAGAAACTAATTTCCATACAAGATCATTATTACTCCCTGAATCAACACTGTTGCCTCATAGAAAATACAGCATAGAAAATTCATGACAGACGTTAATAGTTAAAACACAGGTCTCCTCTTCGTGTGACATTTACTGGGTTTTATATTGTGTAGACAAAAGAAAACAAAAAAAGACACCCATTGATGAAGATCATTTTATGGATCTATATGGACAATATGTCATGAATATGCATAGAGCACACTCTAACCTTGTTACAACCACAAAAAACCCACAATATAACCCGACCTACCCGAACGAGGGTTTACAATTACCTCGGGGCAAATGGACACCAACAACAGTGATAATATCTCCTGATAACGATAGAGATCACTTGTCGAAATGTCGTAATATGTGTATAAATCAGTGAATGTTTTCCATACAAATTGTATTAGGCTTTTTCTTGAGTTCAATCGCTAAATGCCATTCAGGGATTAAATCATTTAAGTGGTTCGGTAGTGTTAACATTGTTATTAATAATTCAGTATTACTGTGTCGTACAGTGTCATCTCCAGGGTTCTAACAGTAATAGACTATTTCAAATACTACAATCAAGTGTTAAATGTTTTAAACCTCAAGCACAGGGACTCACTCTCACTAACATGTCAATCCAGATGTTGACCGAGAAAGTTGCTCGGCATTCAGTTCAGTGATTAAGCCGATGGCCCACTAATCAGTCGACCCCCCCCCCCCCCGGTGTTCGCTGAGAAAGCTACTCGGGATTTACCATTTGTTGGGTCGCACCCGGGTTTGATCCGGGCGTTTACGGCGAATTCAGTCCCTCTGGATTTTTTTCAAACCCCACCCCCTTTTTGTCAGTGGTGCAGTCGTGCGTATGAAACGTTAGCAAAATTGCACTCAAAATGACAATTTCGTTAAGCCCAATATCATTACATTCTCTTATTTAATAATTTTATTTTCCAGGTTCCCATTCAGAGGAGGTTGTACCATTAACCGAAAACATGACGGAAGGTTCTGCAACCATGGAATCCAGTTACATCCCAACGTCTACTGCTCCACAGACAGCTAAGCTACCCATAAACACCTGCTGGGGGAAATTCGTAACCGGATTAAACACAATTTATTCATGGGTTAGCTCACTTGTGGGTTTACTGTCCCTACTGGTGGTTTATACTGTAATCGGTGCCTTCATATTCCGTGCCATCGAAGCTCCACACGAAAAACTCGAAAAGAAAAATATTATTGTAGAACGGAAGGAAATGATCGAGGCGCTAGTTAATATAACCAAGGCAGCACATGGGTTAAATGAGAGTGAAATGACCAAGGACGTAGCAGAAAGATTGACTAATTATGAATTAACGATCTATGAAGCTTATAAAAATGGTATAACAACTATTTCAACAGAACATAAATGGAATATTTGGACTGCTTTGTTTTATTGTGGAACCATCTACACAACTATAGGTAAATATGGTTATTGATCACTAGCTCGGGTTCGATCATTTACACAACTATAAATGAAATGAAATGAAATGGGGTTTAACGTCCCACTGTTCTGCTCCTAAACTGGGCTAATGAAGACGGGCATACGCCATACAGTGTGCTATGAGGGAAATTTTGCCCGGGCAGCGGTACTACGGCCTACTCTTATATCGAATTCCAACTGTCAAGGGATCTTTTACGTGCACGCCAATGTGTACATGGAACCTCGGTTTTTCGTCCCATCCGAACACGTTGTGTTTTTCGTCCAATCGGAACGAATTGACGCAGTTCCGTTCTGCACCAATGACAAGTGAAATAATTTTCTCAGCCACCATCAGGACCATTTAAGCTTTAAGTAGTAGGTGAAATAATGCATGGTAACGTATTGTAGATCATGTTGTATTTAATGTTGTTTTTTTTTCTGATTGTAGGCTATGGTCATATATCACCAGCAACTGATTTAGGGCGAGTCTTGACGATTATATACGCTGCTATTGGCATCCCGCTAGCTTTAATAGCCCTGGCAGATCTAGGTAGAAAATTCACAGTTGGTCTCAAGTTTGTCTATGCATTTGTGAGACAAGTGTACTATTGGAAATGCTGTAACAGAGTTCGAACTCGTCACAGACTGGATATTACCGACGCGGAAGCCGGGACAAAGGTTGCTAACGGTACAGAAGTCCGACCCGGGGTCAAAGTGTATTTTGGTTATGAGATCAGTACGGAGTTTAACATACCAATATTCGTGGTGGCTTTTATCATCGTTTTGTATCTGTTTCTAGGAGCTTGCATGTACACCTTGTGGGAGGATTGGACGTACATCGAAGCTATCTACTTCGTCTTTATTTCAATAAGCACGATAGGATTTGGCGACGTTATCCCGGCCCACCCAAAATTCTTTTTGCTGTCGTCTGTTTATGTTTTTATTGGACTTTCCCTGATATCCATGTCGATTAATGTTGCCATCGAATTCTTTAATCAACAAATCGGAAAAGCGAAGGTCAATTTTGGAAAAGCCAGTGGAAGAGCGCGTGAAAAGGCGGTGGAGAAAATCCACGACGTGAATAGAACTTTAACGAAGGCACGTGATAGAATGCATGACATCGGCAAAAAGAGAAGTTTTGAGGAACACGAAAACGATTCGCCGGAACGGCATTTCCATAATGGTCACAATGGTCATAAAACTAAGCACAAAGATAGTCCAAAGGGGGAGAATCACAAAGACAGCCCAAGGAGAGATAATCACAAAGATATTCATAAGGGAGATAATCACAAAGATAGCCACAAGGGAGTTAGTCACAAAGACAGTCAAAGGGCAGATAATCACAAAGATAGCCCTGAGGGAGATAATCACAACGATAAACACAAGGAAGATCGTTACAAAGATACACACAAGGAAGATAATCCAAACGTTAAAGATAGCAATGCGTAGACGTGACATTCGCGTTATGGCATTGTTAGGATAGCCGTGACGTTGTGGCATTATTTGGATAGCTGTCACCTGAAATAATTGGGGTTTTGGTGGTGGATGATGACGCGGACGGTCGTGTCTCGTGTGTGAAATGTTTCCTTTGTTTCCTACTATCTACAGATTATCAACAATAATCAACTTGTGGGAAAGCGAACGTTACCCCAGTCTGATCATGATTGTTAGATGAGTGAAATTTATGTATAACACTTACGTATTGGGAAAACTCAATTGTGATTGATTACTCGAACCATGGTGAATATCGAGATAGGTAGAACTGTTAATGCCTAAACCAATCACACCTACTATGTTTGATTACGTCACGATACCATAATGGCCAGAATGATCATAACACTAAGCACGTTAAACATGTGGATGAAATGATATCGAATGTACATGTGCGTGTACTGAAACGAAATGAAATGTGGTTTAACGTCCTGTCGGATTAATGAAAATGCGATACGTTTACTGTGTATATACAACATGTAAATAAAAATATATATTTCTAAACGCTCGGGTCTCACAACGAACCACCATCACGCTAGGCCGTGTAATACTTAACTTAATTGTGATCGAAGACATCGAATATATTAACCGTAGATCACAAACAGAAATCAATATGCACATTAATCTGACAGGTCAATAAAGGGATGCAGATTGGTTTCTTACAATCTGATAATCTGTAACACTATCCGGCTACATATATTTTACTTTAACCTGTGCTCATCTCGGTTGGTTTCACTCTGACGTGGCTACTGCTGCATTTCTCTCATTTAGGACTTCAACCTTGTGTGTTTTCTCACGATACCAATTCAAATATGTAACAGGAAATGAAATGAAATGAAATGGAGTTTAACGTCCTACTGTTCTGCTCCTAACCTGGGCTAATGAAGACGGGCATACGCCATACAGTGTGCTATGAGGGAAATTTTGCCCGGACAGCGGCACTACGGCCTACTCTTATATCGAATTCCAACTGCCAAGGGATCTTTTACGTGCACGCCAATGTGTACACGGGACCTCGGTTTTTCGTCCCATCCGAACGACTAGACAGCCTTCCTTGTCAGCCCCTCCGTCCTGCATCACTGACAAGGGAGAACCACGCCGGAAAATATGTAACAGGAACAACAATACTTTTTGGTATATGTTTTACGTCAAAGTAGATAAGCATTATAGTCTACATTACAACACTTAAAATTAATATGTCTTTCCATCACTCTGACTCCATCCGCAGATCGAGGTAGCTGATGAAAAATTTGCATCTCTGCTCTCTCACTCTCAAATGGTTGTCTAAGAATCAAAATGGTGGTCTGAAGAATGCAAGTGGTGACTGGTGTCTCGTGTCTGGTGTCCGATAATTCGAACCTTGGTTTTGCTCTTTTATAGGTGCCAACATCCCTAATTTCTTACGTCATAGACTGATAACAGCTAAATACCAAATGTGGAATTGATATGCTTCATGCCCTGCCTACGGGCAAGGATTAGTACCCAATTTGGTCAACAAATATGACAAAAAAAATGTAAATGACCAACATGTTTACTAATCTATAGATCAGTTAACTATCAAAATAACCAACATTCTTTACTATATTTTTTAATTATGAATTTAGAATTAATAATTTATAAACATATTTTTACAGTCATCATTTAGTTACAATTCCTTAAGCTTATTTTCATACATCTTAAAAACACAACAAAGGTGTTATGCTCGAAAACGACAAAGGAACGTTGTGCTATTGTGTAAAGACACGTGATTTTTTTCATATTAATTGTGTTGTTTCATTGTGTTTAATCACTATATGTCACTCAAGGATTATATTTATATATTATTACCAAATTCAAGAATGAATTTTGTCATCTTGTCAGTTACCAAGGCTGACACTACGGGTTTTGTAAAATATATTTGTAATAAAATCGTTCATCTCAATTACGTATATGAAATGAAATAAAATGAAATGAAATGAAATGGGGTTTAACGTCCTACTGTGCATACTGATACAAGGAAACGAAATGGGGTTTATCGTCCCACATTTGTGGTATATGTATCCGATTGCCATTAAAAAAGATAAATTTGTTATCCCATAAATAGTGCAGTGTGTTATTTGTTGAAAATGTTTCCATTTATCCATGGAGCAGTTGTGCAAGGGAATATTATTCCAGGAACGAACGACCCCTTCAACACTAGTGTGTAAGCTTTAGATAGTATCAGATACTCGATGCGGAGAGATGACAGGGGTGTAAGAAAATATTGTACCAGGAACCATAAGGTTAGGTCTAATGTAATGTTTGATCAAGAATATCTCAATTTCCTTTCCTAGTAGGCAAAACGAGATATTTTGTGGATATTGCGAAATATCACTGGTTGAACGACATGATGTTTTACATGTTGGTCATGTTGCGCGTGTACTCGCTATTGCTCACATTTGCCGAATTCGTCCATTAGATTATGTTTATGATTCAGTGTACGTGTTTGTATCAGATTAAAACCAGATGTAATTATTAAATTGTTTCACTGGTATTTACCAATAGTAATTGAAGCTGGAATACACGGGGACGCCATTCAATGGAAGATGATTACAGTTTATCAGTGACGGGATCTAGAGAGACTCTCGGCTAAACTCTTAATCCCCCATTCTCAGGACTGGGGGAAGGTAAAAGCCAAGTTTGGTGACGGATGTTTAAGACTACAGTATGTGTAAGAAAGGCTTATATAAATATTATGACTATATATTATACTGTGTATATCTGGTGCATGACTATATTATACTGTTTATAGACTGTGTGTATCTGGTGTATGGTTATATTATACTGTGTATATCTGGTGTATGACTATATATTATACAGTTTATAGACTGTGTGTTTTTGGTGTATGGTTATATTATACTGTGTATATCTGATGTATGACTATATTATACTGTGTATAGATGGTGTATGACTATATTATACTGTGTATATCTGGTGTATGGCTATATTATACTTGTATTTCTGGTGTATGGCTATATTATACTGTGTATACCTGATGTATGACTATAGTATATATGGTGTATACTGTGTATATATGGTATACGACTATATTATACTGTGTATATCTGGCGTATGACTATAGTAATACTGTGTATATCTGGTGTATGGTTATATTACACTGTGTATATCTGGTGTATGACTTTAATATAATGTGTATATCTGGTGTTTGGCTATAATATACTGTGTATATCTGGTGTATGACTTTAGTATACTGTGTATATCTGGTGTATGGCTATATTATATTGTGTATACCTGGTGTATGACTATAGTATACTGTGTATATATGGTGTATGGCTATATTATACAATTTATATCTTGTGTATGACTATATTATACAATGTATATCTTGTGTATGACTATATTATACTATGTTTATATGGCCCCAAGTTCACAAAGCATTCTCAGACTTAAGTTAAGAATTTACTCAACTTTCAATTACTGTTTATGAGAAATATCTTTGGCCCAGAAACACAAAACTTTGTACATAGTTTCTTATTGCTGTATTTGGTACATTAAAACAACACACGTTTTATAAAGTTCTATATTTTAGTTAAAATAAGACGAACAATTTTGAGTAAATTCTCAACTTAAGTCTGAGAATGCTTTGTGAACCCGGAACCTGGTGCATGACTATATACTGTGTATATCTGGTGCATGGCTACATTATACTGTGTATATCTGGTGTGTGACTATATTATATTGTGTATACCTGGTGCATGACTATATTATACTGTGTATATCTGGTGCATGGCTATGTTATATTGTGTATATATAATGTATGACTATAAATGTATACTATGTATATATTTTGTTGTTGATTATTACACGAAAAATATATGTTTGTCGCTTTCTTGATTTATACAAATTATATGGGTTGGGACTTGTTCACTAACCAGGAGGTTCGGGGTCAATTCTAATATAGGTTTTTACATTGAAGAAATTTGAAGATCCAAGATGGCCGCCATTTGGAGAAAGTGATACCTATCTAAAATTGCTAAATGGGTTTTTACATTGCAGAAATATGAAGAAACAAGATGGCCGCCATAATATATTTACAAGAAGTGGTGCTTGTCAAAATTTGGTAAATATAGGTTTTTACATTACGGAAATATGAAGATCCAAGATGGCCGCCATTTGGAGGAAGTGTTACACTTTCGGAAGACTTATTCTATGTCCTGGCAGCTAACCCTTCAAGGTCACACTGTCGTGTGTCTTGGTAGGCATTCACGTTAGTTGTGCAACAAAACTTCAAACCCTTTTTTGTTTGTTGGTTTATATATATGTTACAATGATGCTACAACATAAAAACATCAACTGTTCCATAGGTATTTTAACGTTACACACGATTAAAACTTATGATGTCTACCCTGACTATTTCACAATACTGTCTCCCGGGAAAAACACGCTGGTCTAATTTATATAAAAAGGTTAGTGGCGTCAACTATACGGGCGGATCCTTGACCTTATTTGGGTAAGTGTTTCATTGGAGCACCCTATGTTTACAAAATTGGTCCAATCAGTACCCCGGATATCATTTTTAACGAACCTTGACACAACAGTAGCCCTCCAGAAATAACTGGTGGCAGGAACCGTGAGTCCGTCTAAGAAAGTTGATGGAATCCTGCAAAGGTAGCCTGCATAGTATACCAGATGTGGTGCCTATGAAAGCCAAGACGGCGGGTAGCATCTAAAAAAGCGGCTCTTTATTCCGGATCGTCCACATCAAGTTTTTAAGCTGCGGAACTGTTACCATTCTCGTGCCGCTTAAACGTTATACGGTCTAAGACTAGTAATTATTTCCCCTTATTTCATGATGGAATGTAGTTCGAATTATAAATAGACAATTTTTCTCTTATTTTTTCTTCTCTCCTCTTCATGCATTGACTTTTTAATCTAGAACTGGAGAAAGGGGATCAAATTTGCAATTCCATAGCAGTTTTAGGAAATACTGATGATATTGCAGTGAAGAGATAGGGGTGTAAAGCGTCTTTCTGCAGAGCAATCATCGTGTCGGAAGTGAGATTTTCACCCCAGTCAACAACAAATCCCCGTAGCAAAAAATCTAAACGGTCACCCCCCCTACAAAATTATGATGAGGGCATTGCCAAATGCGGTCCCCGGTTTTACGCAAGTCCTGTAAGAAAGGGTCGTGGGGCTCTACTCGTTCAATGTCGGGTAAACAAAGAGGTTTATATCATAGGAATAACAATATAAATAAAAAACTCTATCTTGGTAAAAAAAAACATCTTTTATTAACGCCCTATCGGGGTACGAAATGATATATACAACGCCTTCTTATATCTAAAAGTCGGGGTTCTCTATGTATACATATCAACAACGTTTTTTTTCCAGGGGAGATTTACATGAATCTGTCGTAGGTGAATTTAGCCAAGGCAATTATAATGTATACACCGATATTCAGTGGATTAATCGCCATACCTGAAATTAAAATTTAAATGGAATCAGTATTGTGACGCATTTTGTCTCGAGTATTCCAGTCAATATTCTCTTTGTAATGAAATGTGTCTAACGTCCTACTGTTCTGCTAAGTAATATAAACAGTAGTTATATAAACAGTTTAAGTTATATAAACAGTATACGTTATATAAACAGTATAATATTATTAATATTATAAGCACTATAAACAGTAGTTATATAAACAGTAGTTATATAAACAGTGTGCGTTATATAAACAGTATAAGTTATATAAACTGTATACCATATGCGTTATATAAAATAGTGATGTAAACAATATAAGTTATATACATGTAAGCAGTATACGTTGTATAACAATATAAAA